AAAAAAAAAAAAAAAAAAAAAAAAAAACCCTTACTGTGATTGTTGCTACCTGTGTTGTATTCCTTTGGTGAAAATATTAAACATGCAGAGATTTAACCAAACTTATTAGGCACAATGATGGCCCAGGTCCACATGGCCCAGGTCCACATGACTAACCAAACTCTGTGAAGAGTTGTTGTTTTTACGTGCTTGRCGCTTCCTTGGAATACTGGCCTGGGAGTCCCGGAACATGGGGGCAGTCGGCGTTCCCGCTGGGCAGCACCACCAACAGCCTGGCTGGCACTAGCCCCAGGGTGCTGCAATTCCCTGGCTTTAGAAGCCTTCTCCTGCCCTCCAAGGWTCACCTCTTCCCATCTAGCTGGTGCTATGTGCAAACCAACCAGCAGTTGTTGCTGTGAGGCTGGTAGTTACTAAGAAGTGGCTTTTGGGTAGACATTTTTGATGTGACCATCCTGGGCATCTCCTGCTCTGCAAGACAGCCACCCTTTGTTCCTGGCCTGGTGATTTCTTTGCCCAAAATCACTTTCTGTTGTTTATCTGTGTTTTTAATGACTTTACAATATTTGCATTTAGAAAAACAAATTGTGGGAAAGGGTATTTGAAATTTTTGTCGTACACACCCTGCCTTCCTGCCATATCTGGCCTCAGGGCTYACAAGTGTTTGTGTTTTGTTGGTTTCTTTTCTGAGATGTTCCTACCTGGAAACTCCTGAAGTTTAAAGGTACATGAAGGCATAGCATAGACATGCTAGGTTTGCTTTAGAAAGAAAGAAAATAAATACCAGAGAAGCCAACTTTTTTCACTCTATTGTAAAAAAGAGATGACTGTGACTGTCCAGTTTCACAATAAAATTTCCCAATTAAAAGCTAYTTTTCTCACTTTTTTGTTTTTTAGTGACACATGTAATTTCACATCTCGAATGAATTTTCTACATTTTTCTTGCTATGTTTAAGATTAGAGGTCTTGCAGTTTTTAATGGGCAATGAGGTAGCAAACTTACCTTATTTCAGAATTTGTTTAGAAACTTTGTATTAAGTATGTTATCTTCATGCAATTACATTGTTAACCTTGGACAAATATGAGGAAGTGGAGACGTGTTTGTGACTTAAAGATTAAATCTGTCCCCAATCTGCAAGAATTTTGGACTGTGAGAGCTTTGTGCATGTTGCTTCTTTGCAATTTCTGCATCTCTTTTTTTTTTAATAGCATATTCCTAACTAAGGAATCAGATCCATCAATAATTAATAATGTTAGTAATAGCTTATAGGTGGGTGAATGATTTTTAAGTTAAACTTATGCTCTGATTTTATCAGTTGCATGTTTTCAACCTGTTGTTTATTGTTTAGTTCCTCTAAAATATGGAAGGTATCGCAGAAAACTTTCTTGTACAAAAAATATTTGCAATAATTCATTTAATGTTCTTGGAGTTAATGCATTCAGAAGAATGGAGAGAAGCAATGATGGACTTTTCTTTTTATTATTACTGTCTAATAAATTCCAGCATTTGTCGCAGTAAGAATGAATATGAATAACAAACAGTTRTGTAGGGAAGAGAAAAGCTCTAGTTTTAACTCATTCATCTCTTTTTAGGCTAACCAAACCCTTGTCATTTGCGGACTGTGTTGGGGACGAACTGCCGTGGGGATGGGAAGCTGCGTATGATCCTCAGATTGGTGTTTACTATATTGATCACATCAACCGTAAGTATTTTTCAGTTCACTTTATTGATTATATAAAAAAGCTCATCTAGATTAGGTTTTTCTGACAAGCTCCCAAGTCAGCCCCTAAATTAGAGTAGGCAAAGGTTTCTTACAAGAGAATTTGGTCATAGTAGCTGTTGCTGTTGTTCACTAGGCAAACTATCCTGCTGGAGCACACAGGCTTTGGGAGGATGGCTGCAGATATATTGAGGCTGGCCCAGTGTTGTACACRTGGTTCTTAATCTTCTTTTTCACAAGTCCACATAATGTAGAGTAAATAAATAAAATATATAAATAAAAAATAAATAAATAATTTRCATCTGTTGGTATCTGTAACGTATAGGTTGTTTGGTGGTTTTTAAATATTCAGGCATGTACACTGSTGGAAATAGTTGGATTTGAGTAATGGGAATTGACTTTAACCACTGAATGGAGCTATTCTAAAATAGCTAGAACAGAGGAAGGAGGCATTTTTGCATGTGGGGTCTGCAAATGTGTTATAGTTCTAAGTGCAACATACTGTAAAATAAATTCCTGCTATAAATAATGCTATATTCTGTAGTAATTGGAAAGGGACTGAGGAATCAAAACGCTGGGAAAGTTTGCAGGTCAAGTTCTGCTTCATCCGTGCAGRGAGTTGGAGCTTGTACAGCCTGGTCTCCAGATGCTCGGGAAAATCCTAATCTTGTTCAAGCAGTGAAACTTAGTAGAGAAGAATTGTGTATATTCATTTGTGTATATTTGTCTTTCTGTGGCCGGAACAAACAAGCATGACTAGCTAGGGGTTGGTTTCTATTTTGTTAATATGTGTTATAGAGGACAAAACGAGGCCTTCACTTTGGTATAGCTGGAAGTTTCACCTATTGTTTGGTAGTGTATTTGGCTTCTGTTACACTAATGCAAGTTGTTTTGTAGCAATCTCGGTGAAACTCTTTGGGAAAGCAGTATGTTTGAGCCCTGTGAGCAATGTTTTGCATGGTGTTTTGATGAAAGCACTCTGAGTTGCTGGAAAGCAGCCTTCCTAAGTGCATTACAAGCAGAGACGTAGAGAGCCCAGCTTTTAGCTCACCTGACCGCAGCACACATGTTGCTGCCAAAATACCTACTATGGAGATCACTAGTAATGATTACAAAAAAAAAAAAAAAGGTGAAAGAAAACACAACTAATGTTTTGTTTGTTTTATGACCAGAGCTTCCTGTGTTTCAGTTTGTGCCCGTTGCTTCTTGTCCAGTCACTGGACACCACTGAAAAAAGTCTGGCCCTGTTCTCCTTTCACCCTCCCTCCAGATACTTAACTGCTTAGGTGAGGTCCTCCCCTCAGCTTTCTCTTCTCCAGGCGCAACAGTCCCAACTCTGTCAGCCTTTTCTCATCTGAGAGATGCTCCAGTCCCTTAAGCATCTCAGTGGACTTTCGTGGGCTTTGCTCCAGTGTGTCCATGTCTCTCTCGAACTGGGTAGCTCAGCGCTGGACCCAGCGTTCCACATGTGCCCTCAAAAGCTGAATGGAGGGGCATGATCCCCTTCCTCGACCTGCTGGCAACACTTCCTGACGCAACCCCGGATGCCACCGTCTGCCTTTGCCCAAGGGAGCATTGCTAGCTCGTGGTCAGCCTGCTGCTTGCTGGGCCACCCAGGTCCTCCTCTGCAGAGCAGCTTTGCAGGAGGTGAAATGCAGGATGATGCAACCCACTTGGAGAAGCACCCACTGAGGTCATTTCTCTATGAATATATTCCTTCAATTAATAGTTTTAATGGGATGCTATCAGCTTCAAGGGAGACATGATTACAGGCCATCTGTCAAGGCAGAACACACGTGTGATGTGGGTAACTACAACCAGAAGGACCTAAAGGCTGATCCTGTTGTTCAGGAGCGCTTTGGCAGAGGCTGCCTGGAGGGATGCTGTTTGCTGAGCAGGGACTCAGCAGTTCACCCCGTACAGGCGCCCTGCTCCAGGAGGGCCCAAAGGTTTTAGCCTGTACTGTTTACTCTTGCAGTGCTCACTGCACAGCTGCACTTGGTGTTCATCCTCTTTCACTGTTTAATTTGTTAATTTCTACAAATTTTCATGAATAACACGGTTAGGAACTTAAGCTTACTTAGTATTCTAAACTTAGGATTCCAGACTTAGTATTCTACTTAATTATGTGTATGTGAAGGCAAAACCAACACTCTTGCATTTTCCAGGATCTTTTGCAGGGCCTCTGATATCAGGCTTCAAGTGGTTAAGRTGAAAATACTTCTGCTGGTAGTTGCTGGTATTTATGCCAGCATTATGCTGGTATTGCATGGATTTGCAAACACTTTTAAGCTGATAAAATCTCTGAAAGAAACAGGCCTGCTCTGTTGCTACCTCTGGCCTTTTATTCTGTCCCCGCAATATTTTTGCTTATACTGGCATGAACACTTGCATGGCCAGACAGTGAATCAGATCAGGGAGCTGATTTGAGTGGAAACTAATCTAGCAAGGTTAAAAAAAAAAAAAAAAATCCTATTTGTTCTCCTTTCCACACCCCTGTTTATGCAAGCGAGGGAGGTAAGGTGACCTAGGGGCAGGAATAATACGGATGTATCAAAGGAGGGTGGAAGGCACCGGGGGACAGCAGCCAAATGCAGTAGCGCTGCTTAAGAGAGTTTGGAAACGAGAGCCCTGCACTGCCAAGCCCGGCGCCTGCTTCCCAGGAGGTGGGCTGYGCTTGGAGGCCGGGGTTTCCACACGCACTGCCTAGGTGGCCGGCGCAGCTGCCGGGGTAGCGACCGCACCGTGCGGCCCGAGCCGCGCGCGCTGCCCGTCCGCCTGGCCCCCTCCTCCCGCGATGAGCTCTCATCACTATAAACTCCCTTTTAAAAAATATAATGCTAGCGTTTTTTTTAACAACTTAATGATTTTGACTTAATTACAGCAATTCGTGATTTGGCTGTTTTAATTACAGTATTAAGTAATTGAGTAGCTGTAACTGGTACTAAATTCAGACCTCCACACAGAGAAAGTCATAGTTTGTTTTAGGGTGCTTTTATTTTCTGCTTTTAACTGTGGCCTGTCAAGGTCTAGCAGCTGTTTGATTTCTGAGTTATTTTAATTTTCAGTTAATTAGACTTCTACTTTAGAATAATATGTTTAGAAACATTCTCAAAAAGCCACTGTCAGTGGACATTACTCTAAGGCAGACTTTTTAATCATGAATAAGTAGTTGAACATCAGTGAGCAGGTTTGTGGYCTCAGTTTCAAAGGAAGCCTGGTAAGAGAAGGCCTTGGTACAGCTCTTTATAATCAGCAGGGTTGTTCTTACTGTGCTACTGCCAGCTGCATTTTTTTTACTGTATCCCCATCTTATGGTGGCTTTACATTTGTTTCTGAATAAGGTCAGATGACAGATCTCCAGGTGTGAGAACAACACAACAAAAAAGCTGTGTGTATATATATATATATATATTAATCTGACCAGATTTTGATTTGCCTTAGTGCTACTAGAGATACTGATGTATTATTACCRTGTTAATTTTGCATTGCTGTGTTAAGATGCTGATGCATATTCTCAACTGCTTGAAATCTGAGAGGTTATCTTGTATGACTAGGTGATTTTGGGAAGTATTACTGACAGCACGGAACCTGCTAGGTGCCTTTACAGTCTGAGAGTTTAACTGAGCCTGGAGATTAAAGGTTGTGGTTCTAAAACCTCTCTAAGACCTCTGCTTATCTGAAAGCCTTCTGCGTTTGACTTGGTATGAACAGCCTGAGAGGATCCTGGCTRGGAGAGATGTTCTGCCTTGCTTTCAGAGCCTGACATATTCTTAAATAAGTCATCTCCTTGACTCCTTATTTTCAGGCTCAGGAATAACCGGGCAAGAGCTGTTCTTTATAGCATCGATCTAGTTAGCTTATAAAACAAGCATGGTGCTGCTAGCAGTGTTCAGTGTCAGGAGTATTACGGAATGGAATGGGGCAGTTGTATTTAAAATATAAAGACAGGAGGGAATAGCCTAGCCTCGCTGTATTTCATCCACTTCCTTTTTGCCATTCTTTACTTTGTGTTGAATACGATAACAGTCCTCTTTGCTCCCTATCCCTGCTGTGCAGAGGGAAGTTGAACATCCACCTTTTCTGCTCCTGCAGCTCCTCCCAACTCCTGATTTTAACTGCCCACTTTGGAAGTGTGAATGCACATTTCAGCCCGTTCCCAGGGGCTGCTCTCTACTGCTGCTTCATCCATGAAGAAAAGAGGCAGCAGAATGCTAAAAGGTCAGGAAGTGCAGAGGTAGGGATTCGCATCTGCTGGGTCTGAGGCTAGAATTCACTGGATGGTCCTATTTCCTCAATTGATTTTTYTTCTTTCTTAAAATTTAATATCCTAGTCATTTACGTACGCAGTTTGACAGTTCTAACGCAATGTTGTAGCCACAGCCAATGTTCTCCATGCCTTGTCATAGTCTTGAGGGCTTTCCTGTCAGCTGAGACCTGTGTGACTGGTTTATGCCACCTTAGACCTGGTCTATCTAACATGGGGACTTTTGTGGACAAGCTGACGGGTATTTGCTCCAGCCCAACACTAGTACATGTGCATCCATGAGAACATGTAATTGGAGAGGGAAGACACTGGAAAATCCTACTGTGAGTCTGCRCTTAGCGTCATGTTCAGGGAGCAGAGCTGTGTCTCTTGATCCTGAGTGTTTGTCATTTGTTCTCACAACCTGTCACAATCTTTTAAGCAAGCGGTGACGTGGAAGTATTTGGGGACTGCTCCTAAAGCCCCTGCAGCTTCAGCAAGCACCCGTGGTCAAGAGCCAGATGCAGCAGGTTTTATCTTGGATCTTATTTACAGGAATCTTATAACTTCCCTGCTCTCCGGCTGTTAAAGAGCTCCATGATAGCGGGAAGGGATTAGAGTAATCTGATGCTGGCTTCAGAAGGAAAGCAAGGGTAAGGATGCCTCTGGGTRGAAGAAAATCAGCTGATGACTTTTAAAAATGTATGTAAAGATCRTACCTGTGGGTATGAATCAT